TACTACTCTCTGCAAACTTTTATTTCTATCTCGTCTATGAATATTTTTTATACTTTGGAATTTGCATTCATTATTATTCTTTTTAATGAACTGAATATAGATAGAACTGAAAATGTACTTCCAACTTTAATATTCTCTTTGGTTGTCATTCATTATTTGAAGGATTCTAGCATGATAGTTATGAGCTGCGCCCTTGAACTGGAGCCACTTTTTAGCCAAATGACTTTGAGCAAGTTTTATCTTTATGATATTTCCTTATTTGTAAAATGAAAATAATTAGAGTATCTTCCTTTCTTATAGAGTTCTTGTAAGGATCAAATAAGACGGTCCATATTCTACTGCCTGGCATATGGCAAGTGCTCATTCACTTGTTATCCACCAGCATTTTCATCAAAATGTACATGCTTTAAAGCTGAGACTGTCTCCATCCCAGCCCTGGGAATAGTACCTGGCAGATTCTTGGAGGACATTTCCTGAATGAATGGCAAAAACATCTGGTATGTTTTATACAGTCCCCTCTCTTCCTCTGTCAGCCTTCTGTTATCTTCTTGCTTCAAGAATTTTTTTTAAGATTTATTTATTTATTTGAAAGAGTTACACAGAGAGAGGAGAGAGAAAGAGGGAGAGGGAGAGGGAGAGGGAGAGGGAGAGGGAGAGGGAGAGGGAGGTCTTCCATCCGTTGGTTTGCTTCCTAGATGGCCGCAGCAGCTGGAGCTGGGCTGATCCAAAGCCAGGAGCCAAGAGTTTCTTCCAGGTCTCCCATATAGGTACAGGGTCCCAAGGACTTGGGCCATCTTTTGCTGCTTTCCCAGGCCATAGCAGAGAGCTGGATCGGAAGTGGAGCAGCCAGCTCTCTAACTGGCCCCCATATGGGATGTGGGCACTTCAGGCCAGGGCATTAACCCCCTATGCCAGCCCCATTCAGGAATTTTTCAGTGAGAGTTGTGAGTACCAGAGATTGGACTCACAAGTGTGTCCTGAGACCTTAGTGATAGGTAAAAAAACAAACAAGCAGACAAAAAAAACCCCTTAGTCTCTTTTTATCAGGCTGCATCTTTTTACTTGGGTAATTCTTCAGCCCCTTCCTGTCTTTGAACTTCAAACTCTTATAAAGTGTGACTCCCTATCTTACTATTGTTCTAACAGCCCCCCCCCCCCAATTTGGGTCATCTTCTAAGAACAATGCATTCTTCTTCCACAAACCATACTTGTTTCTGTTTACTCTGTATTCTGTTCTAATTAAATGTACCTAGAATACTTCCCATCCTATTTGGGGGAAGAAACTTCACCTTAGTTCATGGGTTACAGAGAAAGTTGCTTTGTTTGTGGCCTCCTTCTCTCCACCCACCTCCATTCCTCTGGAGAGCAAACTTTCTAATCTGTCAGAAGTGGACATTGACAGGGACTGCTGTACTGGAAGGTAGGATCCCCATATTAAAAGTCATAGCTCCGAAACGCTCACACCCCTACCCTCTCTTGCACTTCCTATCTTCAGGGATTGGACAAAGCAGGCAGGGTCTGTCTCAGCTGTTCTCAATACGTCAACTCTGTTCTGCCTGCAGTTGGGTACGCTGATGGGCCAGTCATCCAACATCAAGCAACTACGTGGAGAAAGGGTATAAAACTTCAAAAGAGAGGGTATAGGAAATAAGAGTATTCAATTCAGCCTCTTACGCTACATAAATTTCTGTAACCTAGATTTCACTTGCATTTTCCATTTATCAAATCGGGTTCTTGTCTAGCTAATGACATCAGTGCTTTTTTTTTTTTTTTTTTTTTTGCTATTTGACTATAATTATCTATATGCTTCCTCAGCAGAGAATGCCAGAAGTGAGACCAACCAAAACCACATGCAAAACCAAATTCCTAACACCATCCAGACCACCCTACTTCACAATACCCTTGGATACAGCCACTATAAGGGTTGTTTTCTGAAAGTGGACCTCTTGCACTATTTTTTTTAAAGATTTTATTTATTTATTTGAGAGGTAGAGTTACAGACAGTGAAAGGGAGAGACAGAGAGAAAGGTCTTCCTTCCGTTGGTTCACCCCCAAAATGGCCGCAACAGCTGGAGCAGCACCTATCCGAAGCCAGGAGCCAAGAGTTTCTTCCAGGTCTCCCATATAGGAACAGGGTCCCAAGGACTTGGGCCATCTTTTGCTGCTTTCCCAGGCCATAGCAGAGAGCTGGATTGGAAGAGGAGCAGCCGGGACTAGAACTGGCACCCATATGGATTTCTGGCGCCTCAGGCGGAGGATTAACCTACTGCACCACAGTGCTGGCCCCCTCTTACACTATTGAGATATAGCCTGCTTTATCACTTTTATGTCCTCTGTTAATATGGAAGGGATTTCTGTCCCAGGGTATGGGAATGGCCAAACACATGACACCTAACAGCCAGCCCTAGGCAGATGAGAATGGTAGCAGTATATTAGTCACAGATACTAACAATCAAAAGGAAAAGGACACCATGCCATGCAGGGCCACATGGAGGCTGCATTTGAGAACACAATGAACCGCCAGAGGCTGTGAGAAGCAGATTCTGCAGTATTAGGAGGATGAGTGATCCTTGGTTTCCATAGGAGGATGTGATGGGCTTGTATTGCTGGTTGGTAAGGAACTGAAATCTGCTACTCAGTAGTAAATAGGAAGCTTTTAGTTCCTTGGTGAATAGGACTGTTTGGCTAGACCTCTTTCATGGGAGCTAGGTTTGAGGGGAGAAGAACTTGAAGCTAAGCCATTTGAAGCCCTCTGTGTTCCACCAGATGTCAAGGCAACATGTAATACTGGGCCTTAATTTTAGGATTTACACCACACAGATTACAGTACCTTAAGATCATTTTTTATTACTTTGGAATTTTACTCTGGATGTGTGTTTGTGAATGTCTTGTGTCTGTGTCCAATTGTTGGTTAGTCAAGGACAGCCAGCATTTAAGTCTTTCACTTAAAACACAATGCACATTATGGTTTGGGAAAACGAGTAGCGTTAAAATGATCTGTTACATCTCAAAGGGATACTTTCCAATTTAATCAAATGAGTAGCATTTAACATACCCAAATTTTGTACATGTTTAATTTAAAAAATATAGTGAAACTTTTAGTACTAGAGTATGTACAAAGTAGAACTTAAACTTGTATTTGTAGAGTCTGAACTTGTGGCTGGCAATGATGTCCATGTAGACACATCCTCCATTATGTGCCATGATTTGACAGCTCTAAACATTTAGTCACCCAGGTCTGCTGACATTTGAAAATAGTTAATATCTTTTTTTCCCCTCTCTGTTTCCAAACAATGAGTGAAACAATAACGTGAATGGGACATTGGCATTCTTTTTAAAATCCAAGTTAAGCTACAGCCTAAATGCCAGAATGCTGATGTCTCAAATGTATTATTCAGACTGCAAATTGTTAGCACTAATGGGGCCCATTAAGAGAATTCTTATTGTTGCTAAATTCAAGCAAATTAATATGGGGAAGGGATGGTAAGGAGGTCACAGACAAATTGGAAGAATTTATAGTATATTATTCCAGTTTCCTAAAAATCTAATATTAAGTCTTTTATTCATCTCAATTTAGGTCCATTAAGCTAATTTTATTTTCTACTTTATTAAAGTAATTGTGAAGTTGTATGCAATCATAAAATCAAAGCACTTTCCCTTTGAAAATTCTGATACACAATTAGATAAATTAGTGAAAGTTTCAAAATTTGAACTTACTTTATATAATCTATTATATCTGAGAAAATGTGTTTATTGTACTTCTTACAAATAATCCTGTCTTGAGCCATTCCAGAACACACAAAATGTTGTTGTAAAAAAACCTGCTAATTTCACTTTTTAAGGTTGTTCATTTATTTTTATTTCTTGAAAAGGCAGAGTGACATACTCTCTGACAGAAACAGACAGATAGACAGATTGATATTCCATCTGGTTCATTCCCCAAATGCCCACAGCAGCCAGGGCTAGGCCAGGCCAAAGCCAGAAGCCAGGAACTCCATCCAGATCTCTTATAAGGGTAGCAGGGACTCAACCCCTGGAGCCATAATCTGCTGCCTCCTAGACATACTAGCAGGAAGCTGGATCTGAAGTGGGGTAACCAGGACTCAAACTAGGCACTCCGTTGTGGGATGTGGATATCCCAAACAGTGCTTTAATCTGCTGTGACCCAATGCCCACCCCCCATTGCATTTTAATATCAAAACAAAATTTATTGACAGAAATTAAAATGAGCTTACCATTGAACAATTCTTTGTTGGCATAGAAACATCCAAAGATAAGCATTATTTTAAGAATTAAATGCTAGTTCAGTTTCTATACTATCAGAGTTTAATTCTAAAAGTTTTCTGATGAAACCTTCACTTATAATTTTGTATTAGGTACTTACTGCATACATTTTTTCAATTTTTCATACTATAGATGGACTACATGTTTACTATAGAAAAATTGGGTAAATATAAACATGAATAAAATAATAAATAATAATAATAAATGATAATAAAATAAAAAATAATAAAATAAAATTCTACCAAGTAGGAAAAACCACTTATCAGTTTTTAGATTATTTTTTATTTTTCAATCATTCTAGAAATTATACTGTCCAATATTGTATCCACTAATAACTTGTAACTATTTAAAATAATATTTGATGAAGCTAAAAATGCAGCTCACAATTCAAGGGCAATGGATTCATTGAATATAGAATTTTTTTTATCAACAATAAAACTTTTATTGACAGAAATATGTAAAAAGATATTTGTGCCTATATATCCAAATGAAAACTTGATCATATATAATTATAATTCTCCCTATATATTTATTATGTATCATATATATTTATACATTTTTATGTTTATACACAAAATTACATAGTAAAACTATAGTTTGGATGAAAGTACAAACTATTTTATTTTCTTTTTTATAAAACATAGGTTCTTTTTTTTTTTTTTTTTTTGACAGGCAGAGTGGACAGTGAGAGAGAGAGACAGAGAGAAAGGTCTTCCTTTTGCCGTTGGTTCACCCTCCAATGGCCGCCGCGGCTGGCACGCTGCGGCCTGTGCACCATGCTGATCCGATGGCAGGAGCCAGGTGCTTTTCCTGGTCTCCCATGGGGTGCAGGGCCCAAGCACTTGGGCCATCCTCCACTGCACTACCTGGCCACAGCAGAGAGCTGGCCTGGAAGAGGGGCAACCGGGACAGAATCCGGCACCCCGACCGGGACTAGAACCCGGTGTGCCAGCGCCGCTAGGTGGAGGATCAGCCTAGTGAGCCACGGTGCCGGCCAAAACATAGGTTCTTAAAATTAGATTTTGGTTTTCTAAAAATGTTTTCATTCTTTGTTCTCTCTCATGATAAAAAGATAGTTCTGGTTGATAACTACTCTCAAAACCTTGAAATTATTCTGTTTAGCTTCCAATGTTGTTGAGCATTCAGTTGTAAAACTAATGCTGGTTGGTGATCTGTCTCTTCTCTCTGATTGCTTTTAAATATCTTCTCTTTGTTGCTTATACTCTAAAATCTATTTTGGGAGGGCAGCAGGATATGCTGAGATAAGCTCTGCAATTTCATTACAAAATATTTATGTCAGAATTTTTAAAAAATGTTACCCTGCTTGGAGTATGTTACGTTTTCTGTGTAGATTAAAGGTTTTTTGCTTGTTTGTTTTTGTTTTTGTTTTTGTAGTGAGGTGAGGGGGAGGAAATACTTGGTGTCATTTTTGCAACTATCTGTCATTATATCACTGTGATTGTTGCTGCTCCTTCCATTTTTTTCTTCTTCAGAATTTTTTTAAAAAGATTTATTTATTTGAAAGGCACAATTACAGAGAGGGAGAAGCAGAGAGAGAGAGAGAGAGAGAGAGAGAGAAAACAACCCGTCTTCCACCCACTGATTCACTCCTCAAATGGCCCAATGGCCAGAGCTGGACCAGGCTGAAGCAGGGAACTTCTTCTGGGTCTCCCTACATGGGAACTAGAAGGACTTAGGACATCTTCCACTGCTTCCCCAGATACAGGGAAAGTAGGGAGCCGGATCAGAAGTAGGTGTCTGGGACTCGAACTGGCAACCATATGGGATGCCGGAGTTGCAGGCAGCTGCTTTACCCGCTATGCCACAACACCAGCCGCTCTTCCTCAGAATTTGATGAGACATTTTTAAGACTTTCCATTCTACCTTCCATGTCTCTAAGCAATCATATTTCAGTTTGTCTCTATAAAGTATTTTAGTGATTCTTTAAACTTCTCTTCCAGCTCAATAATGTTCTCTTCAGCTGTATCTAATCTGCTGTTTAACATGTTGCCTAGGTTTATAACTTTGCCAATAATTTTCATTTTTGAAAAATTTAGTGTTTTTTCTTTCAAATCTAACTGACCCTTTTTTTTTTAAGATTTATTTATTTGAAAGATAGCATTACAGGGCAGAGGAGAGGGACAGAGAGAGAAATCTTCCATCTGTTGGTTCACTTCCCAAATGATCACAACTGCCAGAGCTGGGCCGAACCGAAGCCAGAAGCTTCTTCTGGGTCTCCTGCATGTGTGCAGGGGCTCACGTACTTGGGCCATCTTCCACTGCTTTCCCAGGCCATTAGCAGGGAGCTGGATCACAAGTGGAGCAGCAGGAACTCAAACCAGTGCCATATGGAAGGTGCTGCAGGTGGTAGCTTCACCCGCTACACCATAGCACTGGGACCTACTTGATCATTTTTTAAAAAATCAAATGTTGAGATAAAAAATTTACATACAATTAAACACACTCATTTTAATATTATACTTTCAACAAATTTTAACATATATATGTACATGTCTCTGTGTGTGAGACCACCTCCTCAATTAAGATAAAAGGGGCAGACATTGTGGTGCAAGAGGTTAAATCACTTCTTAGACTGCCTGCATTCCACATTGGAGGGCCTGGGCTGGAGTCCTACCTCCACCTTCCAAACTAATTTTCCTGGTGATGCACCTGAGAGACAGTGGCTGATAGCTCACGTACTTGGGTTCCTGCCACCTACCCACGTGGAAGACCCAGATAAAATTCCCAGTTCCTGGCCAGCAGGAATTTGGGGAGTAAACCAGTGATAAGAAGATCTCTTTCACTCGCTCTGCTTTTCAAATAAAGAAAAATGAACATTTTTTAAATAGACCTAAATTTTTGCTGAAAGAAAAAAAAAAGAATATTGTGGGGAGCAACTTGGACTAGACTAAGTTACTGGAATTAAAACTTATTCTATGCATCTGCTCTCCCACAATATGGCGCTGGGAGAGGAGGAAACAGCTTTACACAGCTGCCTCCAGTTCAACCAATAAACTGTAGGACCTGCTCCTGATTGGAGGAGAGCAGCGTACTCGGCGTGTGGGTAGCAGAGTTGGGATTGGTGGAAGAGAACTATAAAGGAGGAGAGAGACAACATGCACCAAGAACATCTATCTGAAGGAACACCTGTGCAGCCCCCAAGAGAGCCGGCCGGCGGTGTGCCGCTCCCCCGCGGAAGTGGGGAAAGTGGCTAGGGGGAACCGCCCTTCCACGGAGGTGGAAGGGTCGGTAGCCAACCTGGGAAGAACCAGCAGCAAACCCGGGGAGGGCTGAGCAGACGAAAGAACAGCGCAGGGTCCTGTGTTGTTCCTCCACGAAGAGGGGGAGCGACAGAATATATCATTATATCTTTTTTTTCCCAAGTCATTTGCTCTAGGTTTTATACCTTGTGGTCTATCTTCAAATTATGTTGTTTACTGTATTAGATTTCCATGACTACAACAAATATCTGGAAGAGCTTCTTAACGAGAAGGAAGGGTTATCTTAGCTCGCAGTCTTAGAGTTTCACAGTCCAAGACTGGGTGGCTTCATTAATCTGATGTCTGACGAGGGTGGTGGATGGCAGAACACCTGAGGTCACACAGCACTCAGGAAGAAGACAGGCAGGGACATGCTCAGCCTATGTTTATGTCTCTTTTTATGAAGTCACCATAATTCAGTCACAGGGCTATACCCTAACAGCCTAATCCAGTGTAACCATTTTTCAAGAACCTGCCTTCAGACACAGTAATTGGATTAATTTCCATCTTTTTTCCATTAATATAAAACTCAAGCCATTAATGCAAGCCTGGGCCTTTGGAGGATACTCAAACTATTATCCAAACCATAGAACTACTTTACATATAACACAAGATGCTTAACACAGAGTACTTAGATTTCTCCCTTATCTCCTTTGCACCATTCATATTGCTTCTACATGTCATAAGCTCATCAATATGTTGCTATTATTTTTCTGTAAGTAACCAACTGTCTAAAAAATTACTCTGAGGGCCAGTGTTGTGAAGCAGCAGCTTAAGCTGCTGCCTGTGACCCTAGCATATCATATGAGCACAGGTTCATGTCCTGGATATTTCACTTCCAATCCAGATCCCTGCCAATGTGCTTGAGAAAGCATCAGAAAATGGCCCAAGTACTTGGGCCCCTGCCACCTACGTGGGAGACCCAGATGGAGTTTCAGGCTCCTGGCGTCAGCCTGGCCCAGCCCCAGCTATTGTGGCTATTTGGAAAATGAACCAGTGAATGGAAGATCTCTGTCTCTCATTCTCTGTCTTTCCTTCTCTCTGTTACTCTACATTTCAAGTAAAGAAGTAAACCTTTAATTTAGTGTAATGAGAAAAAAACACCTTCTGAATTTATCCTTACATTTACCATTTCTAGTAGTCTTCATTTCTCATGTACATCTAAGTTTGCATCTGGTATGATTTTCTTTCTGCTGGAAGAACTTCAAGTAACGTTTCTTGTAGTGCAGATCTGCTGGTGAAGTTTTTTTTTTTTTTTTCAGATTTGGCTTTTCCAAAATAAGTTTAATTTTGCCTTCATTTTTTAATCTTATTGGAATATAAAATTCTAGGTGGACAGTTCTCAGTTTTTCTTCAGAATTTTAATGTTGGAAGTAATTCTGAAAGTTCTGGAGAATATGGCTTTTTTTTTGTCTTTCTTTAAGTGTTGCTGTACTTTGTTTTATCCAGCAATTAAGTTATTTTCTGATAAATCTGATCCCTCCTAATGCTATTTTTAAAGTTTTCCCTAGCATGGGTCTAGAAAGATCATTGAGAACCATCTACTTTGGCCTTCAATTTCTCTTGGCTCCATGTTGGCACTCTATTTTTTTTCTTTTCACAGTTCCCAGTTATTCTTTGTTCAACTTTGTGGAAATCTCATTCTACATAGGCATGGTCTAGCACCCAGGAACAAATCAAAGGGGACCTCTGTGCCGGTTTCTGGAGCCTTTCTCCTCTCTTTTGTAGAATCTTTCTTTCCAGAATTCTGCCCTGAAACTCTCAGTTGGCTTAGTCTCTCTAAACTCTGTCCTCCGTCTCTTCTATTCAACAAGACATCCAAGCACTGTTCAATTCTCCCTTCTTGCATTCTGGAAATTATTTCTAGGCAGAAAGATGGGGGCAAATTATTGGACTTACCTGTTTCATTTGTTCCTCTATTCTCAGAGATCACAATCCTGCAATGGCTGCTGTCCAGTGTCTGAAAATTGTCCCATATATTTTTGTCCAGCAGTCTAGTTGTTTACCATAGGAGATTAAGTCCAGGATTTGTCTGTGTCATGAATGATAGTGAAAGTTTTTTGTTATTTTGCCTTATGTGTCTCTTGTAATGAGCATATACTTGGATTATGTGAGGAATTATTATAGGGGAATTTTAGCCATTTAAAATTTATTATTATTGTGAATATGTAGTCTGAGTTCCATCATGTTAGCTTAAGTCCCTAGAGGAGTATTTTCTTCTATTAATTCAACAGACACAGCAAGTACTCACCATGCCCATGTATGTTCTAAGTGTTACAGCTGCTACAGGGTTCAAATTTACATTAACTCCTGCCCCACTGTAGCTTACACTGGGTGAAAGATAATGAGTAAATAAGGAAGGAAAAGAGTGTTACCTGTTTCAGTTTGGATGTGTCCCCCTAATTTCTTGTGTTAGAAATTAAATCCCAAATTCACGTGTTAATCGTATTTGGAGGTGGATTTGGGGAGTGACTGGATCATGAGGGCTCCGTCCTCATGAATGGATTAATTCATTCATAGCTTAATGGGTTACTGAGGGAGTGACTTTGTTACAAAAAGGGAGCTCTCTGGCATGCTTGCTGTGCCTTGGAATGTGATGCCCTCTGCCATGTCATGACCCAGCAGAAAAGCCTCACCAGGTGCTCAGCAGAGGCCAGTGCCATGCTCTAAGACTTCCCAGCCCCCAGAAGCATGGGCTAAACATGTCTCTATTTATAAACTTCCAGTCTGTGATATTGCTATAGCAACCAGAAACAGATTAAGGCATTGGGATAAGCAGCCTAGAGAAAGTAAAGGAGAGAAGACAGGGAGTTTGGAGAGTGAGTATGTAACAGTTACACAAGGTGGTCAGGGTTGGAACTGTTGAGAAAGTGACATTCATCTGAAGGCCAGAAGGAAAAGAGGGTATCTGTGGATATTTGGGAGGAGAGCATTTAAGTGAGAAGAAATAGTAAATGGAAAGGCCCGGGGGCAAAGCATGCCTGGCTAATTGAAGGAACAGTGAGGAACAGTGGCTGGAGCAGAGCAAACAAGAAGAATAGTAGGATATGAGGTCAAAATCAGTAAATAACGGATCAGATTGTGTAGGGCGTAGTAGACCATTGTAATAATCTTGGCTTTCGCTGAGAGTAAATAGATTGCAGTGAGAAGGATTTGAGCTTAGAGGTGAACTGATTTGATCTGCTGTTTTAACAGTATCACTTGATGCTGTATTAAGAAGCAGGGAGTTCAGTTAGGACACTATTATAGTCATGATGGTAATAGGGGTCAGGGCTGTTGCCTTAGAGGTAGTGAGAAGTAGTTGGACTCAAGCACATACTTTTAAACTTTTTGTTATGGAAAATACGAACAGAACAGAACAGACAATAGTCTAGTTAACCTATGTGAATGCACTTTGGTAGTTGAAAACTCATGTTCATTCTTGTTTCATCTTTAACTTCATCTACTTTCTGCCCCTTTCCTTTCTGTCCCTGAAGCTGCCCCCTACTGCACCCTCCCCTGCCTACCCCACAACTATTGGATTATTTTTAATCAAATTATGGAATTTGGAGCCGGCGCCGTGGCTCGCTAGGCTAATCCTCCACCTTGCGGCGCCGGCACACCGGGTTCTAGTCCCGGTTGGGGCGCCGGATTCTGTCCCGGTTGCCCCTCTTCCAGGCCAGCTCTCTGCTATGGCCAGGGAGTGCAGTGGAGGATGGCCCAGGTGCTTGGGCCCTGCACCCCATGGGAGACCAGGAAAAGCACCTGGATCCTGGCTCCTGCCATCGGATCAGCGCGGTGCGCCGGCTGCAGCGGCGGCCATTGGAGGGTGATCCAACGGCAAAGGAAGACCTTTCTCTCTCTGTCTCTCTCTCACTGTCCACTCTGCCTGTCAAAAAAAAAAAAATATGGAATTTGAAGGTAGAGACAACAGGGACATGAATGCAAGAAAAAAGTCAAAGATGACTTCAATGTTTCTGCACTGAACTTCTCAAAAGATGGTACTGCCATCAACTGAGGTGAAGTCTGGGGAAGCAGTCTGCAGCTGATCAGTTAAGGCTGGCAGGGGGTAGCTTGGGAAGAGGAAGTTTGGAATCAGAAGGTACAGTTTGGGACATCGAAATCTGAGATACCTGGGTGTCCAAATATAACTGTTGAGTAGGCTGCTGGCTATTATGAATGGAGTTGAGCAAATCTGGAGTTGTTGATGTGTACACAACATTAGAGGTTATGAGATGTGTAATACTGCCAAAGGAAGAGAAAATGTCTAGGTACTAAGCTCTGGGGCACTACAACATTGAGGACTTAGGGAGATAAGTAGAAATCACCAGAGAAGTCTTTAAATGTGAATTCTGAGCAAAGAGGAACACCATGGAAGTGTGATATCCAGTAAGCCAAGTGAAAAGTGCTGATTGATAGGTTCATATTGGAAGAGGACAGATTGACCAGTGGAGTTAGCAACAATGAAATTAAATAATTAGGCATAACAAGTTCAGTGTTAGTAGATGGGTAGGGGCAGAGAAACAAATGCATGATGGGAACAGGTTTCTTAAGAATGGGGGGAATTTTGAATTTACCTGTAAAAGGAAGAAATATGTGGCCACAGCCAAAGAACTCAAAAGAGAGAGAGAGAAATAATAGCATGTTTTTAGACTGATGGGAAGAGTTCATTCAGAAAGAAACAGAAGTTGCTGATGGAGGAGTGGTGGGGGAGAAGTGCAGAAGCAGTGTCCTTGAGATGGGGCATTGCCTTGACAGGGATCATAAACATTGCATCTTTGGTAACAGCCAGGAAAGTAGAGCAAGTACTTGGGCACAGATGCAGGTGGATAGATGCAATGGTAGGAATGCGTATATTCTCTTCTGATGAAAACAGGAAGGAAGGTCATGGCTGAGAGTTCACCTGGTGTACACGTTTGAGGGGTGAGGAGAACATATGAAATGACACTTCAGGGAGGCTGGGGTTGGCAGTGCATGGGTTAGAGAAACAAAACAATTTCTAGGCAGCAATTAAGTTCTTCTTTTTAAAAAACATTTATTTATTTGAAAGGCAGAGAGAGAGAGGTCCTCTACTGCCTGCAATAGTCATGGCAGGGCCTTGCTGAAGCCAGGAGCCTGGAAGGCAATCTGGGTCTCCCATGTGGGCGGCAGGGACCCAAGTACTTCAGCCATAGTCAGTGTCCTCCTAAGGTGCACATTAGTAGGAAGCTGGATCAAAAGTGGGATTGAGACTGAAATCCAGGGGCTCTGAACAGGATGTGGGCATCCCATGTGACGTCTTAACTGCTGGACCAACTGTCTGTCCCAGTTAGGTGTCTTTTGAGGAGAATGCTAGAACATTTTAATTATCTTAATAATTTATTTATTTTTGGCCAGGTTTATATATGATCCTCTTTTCAGTAATTTTCAAATAATTTTCCTTGTAACTTTACTACCTAGTCTTTGCTAGCTATAGACCTTTATACTATATAATATATTAATAGCTATATACTGTAAAATATAAATTATTTTATAATGTACACTTAATATCTGTATACTTTAACTGAAAAAGGTTTCTTGTCTCATAACTGATTTTCATTTCTGTTTGAATTACCCTGACTTTATCACCATGAACTTCAGTCATTTATTTATTAACAGATTAGATACATTGCCTTTCTCCCAAGTTAATAATTTTTCTCTCATCTACACTTCTTTTTTTCTCTTCTACTTTTCTGATGAACTTTTCAGATGTCTTCTTTACACCAGTGTTCCCTAAGTCTACCTTACTGTCAAAATCACTTAGAGACGTAAAAATATGTATAAATTAAGAGACAAAGTCCATGGAAGATCCTGATTCATTAGATCTGGGATTGGCCTGATAAGAGGTTCCTTTAAAAAGTTCCACAAGTAACTCTAATTACCAGCTTGGTGTGGCAGCCAGAGCTGTATTCAGCAACAAAATTTACTGGGTTCTGATTCCAGAATGGATTGTAATTCTCCTATTGCCTTTTGGGTTTCCTACAGCTTGTCTATACTGTGTGTGTGTGTGTGTCCTGCCTTTTAGGCTATGGTTTTTATACCTTAGCTCATTTTTCTTAACCTATATATTTTATTTGAATCTGTGCATGTTCTCTCCAAATACTCCCTGCCCTTTCTTCACAGGGGCAAATTTGCATTGTATGCTCTGGAGGACTCAGCAGATGTTTCCTGAAATTTTATTTTCTTCCTGAACAATTTTTAGAGATATGTATCCCCCCGATTCTAAAGGGTAGTATACCCTTTACCTTAGGGTGCAGGGCTTTTTGTGAATTGTAAACCTGGTTTTTGATCCCTAGTTATTTGTCTTTTTTTTGTTATTACTATTATTATTCATCTCCTAAGGAGGAGAACTGGTCATGTATTGGTATTTACCAATAGAGAGTATTTGTCACATATGTAAAGTTTCAGAATTATCTGCCCTTGTTTAGTATTGTTTTGCTATGATATTTCTATGACATTTAAAATTTTTAATTATGATATAACATGCATATCAGAGAATGTATGTAATATTTTGTAGTTCACTTAACTAGAAAGAGAACACGTGTGAATCTACCACTCAGATGAAGAGAGAGGTGATCAGAAGCTGGCTGAGGAACACGCGTGTTTCTGTCTTGGATCACATTCCCTTTTGTCTGACCTGGATGTAACTGTTATCCTAGCTGGGTGATGATCCCCCCTTGCTCTTGTTCATACTTAAGCTCTTAGTGCTCCATTCTCAAACAATTGCTGACATGCTTTGCTATGGAGTCACTTTTTTCTTCACCTCTACTTTTGTGTTTCCAATAAAAGGACCACACGTGTTGGTCTCTTTTCTGTGTTGTGACTTCAGTGGTTCTGCTATCATAGTTAATGGAGAAAGTGTGGTAACTAGGATCAGGGAAAAGGGAGAAGAGTTTATTCTGCTTTAGCTTCATTGGGAAATCATCCCTCCGGAGTAGAATGATTTCTGCTCCACTTTTCCCAGTTGATGTAGATACTGCATCTCAAGAATAATAGTGCACAGTGTCTGCCTGCTTCATGCCAGTTCTTGGTTAAGCACTGCGGGCATGTTCTTAATCCAGGTTAATCCATCCCAAATTTGGAAGAGATTCTGCCTCGATCTTTACAAATAACCAAATGACTATGATCCCTGTTTTTAGAACTGTTTTGAAGTAGGAACTCCATTTCCAAGACAATAAATCTCCTGCATGTTCTTTCTCTATATGTCTTCTAATATTTAGAAGAAATGAGAAGGGAGAAAGAAAAAAAAAGAGCCCTATTAGTCTTATATCTACTACTATGTGCAGAGTCCATATTGGGCCAATATGGAACATAAAACTGTTAAAAGAGAAACATAATTTAAGGATGAATGAAGTATCTGGACTGCCAACCAAGAATGCATGTCAGTACTTCCAGCAGAGCAGAAAGCATAAATCAGGCTCTGTAAAAGGAGAAAAAAAGTCCCTCTTCCTATAGAAAAACCTGTTAATGAGATCATACAATCACTAGACTTTTTCATTCTAAAATTTAAAAATTTAACTGGGAGCATGCCAGGGCATGTGATTCTCAGGTGGGTCCATAGCCACAGTCACCATTGGCATCCCCAGCCACCTGCTCAGCCCTCAGGCCTGGCTGCCAGGGGACTTGGCTGGCAGACACCTAGCTTGCAGAGCCAACTGTGGCCCACAGTGGGACACAGTTGCCACTGCTGCCCCTTCACGAAGATAAAGGCTGCTCATGGTCATCAAGCAAGAGAGCACAGGAATACAGATGCCTATGACTGGGGACCGAGCCATTGTCCGCTACACTGGCTGATGTTAAGTGGTGCAAACTTTGGCTCCAGTTTGGACTACAAAAACAAGTTCTTTGACTTGGGGATAGAGAAGGTCACCAAGGCTTGGGACATTGCTGTAGCAACCAATTGTGCCACAATACCTGAAAATCAGAATGTGTCTTAAGCTCAGCAGGTAGACCTCCAAAGACCTCCAGCCCTGCAATACCACACTTGTGTTTGAGGGCACTCAATGAACACCAGATGTCTGCTGAATGAGTGAAAACTTTTCTGAAAGCTGGAGATACTTCAGGACTTGTTGCCAGCATTTGGGGTTACGCCTGATCTCCAAGATCTGGTCTCAACACAAGAAAAGACATCTTAGAGACAGCAATCCCCTGGGGAGATAAAGGACAAGAAACAGGGCATCTCTAAGCTCAGATCACCTGGCTCCACATGTCTGATCCCCCAACCCATACCGTGAGACAGACTACTATGGAGTCAAGCCCTGACATCCTGACAAACAACTGGGAAAGCTTCCATCGACGTATTCATTGCCTCCCAAGCAGGCAGTCTGTAGGCTGCCCGGCTTCTTTAGGTGCGTGCTGAGACTTTGCTGCCTGTGGCTCTGCTCACCTTTTGTATGAGCTGTCTGTTATGAGTGCAGTGCATCGCACTCTTAGATTATACAGGCTGCACAATGACCTCAGAAGACCTCTGTGGCAATCCCAGGTTTTCTTTCTTTTTTTAAAAAATAGATTTATTTATTTATTTGAAAGGAAGAGTTATAGGGAGGCAAGAGGCAGAGAGAGAGAGAGAGAGACAGGTCTTCTATTCGCTGGTTCACTCCCCAAGTGGCCACAATGGCCGGAGCTGGGCCAATCTGAAGCCAGGAGGCAGGAACTTCTTCTGGGTCTCCCACGTGGGTGCAGGAGCCCAAGGACTCGGGCCATCTTCCACTGCTTTCCCAGTGGGGTGGAGCACCTCTGATGCTCCTCCCTGTGATATCCATTCCAAGTCTCTCCCAGCCATCTCTACCAGGACTGTAAACAGCTGGGTGAACAATCAGGGTGAGGCGCTGCTTCCGTTCTGAGGAAGGAAGTATTTCCTGGGAGGTGTTTCATCACAGGGTGGGGAAAGCATGCCAGGAATAACATTTGCCAATCAGAACGGTGGGAATTTGGCACAGGTGTTAAGACGCCACTTGGGACACCCACATCCCATACTGGAATGCCTGGGTTTGATACCCGGCTCCACACCTTATTCTAGCTCCCTGATGGTGCGCACGTTGTGAGGCAGCAGGTGAAGGGGTGTTGGCTCATCTTTGCAGTCATTTGGGGTAATGAACCAATATCAGAGCTTTCTGTTTATGTCTCTCTGCCTCTCTCTCTCAAAAAATAGTGCAAATCTGGTTGTTATTCCCTTAATTAAAACCCTCTGATGGCTTCCAATTAAAAAATTATCAGACCAGTTTTATTCAAAAGCAGTTGAACCATTTAAGATATGGAAAATGATCTCTCATGTGAATCAAAACATAAGGCTACATTCTCCAAGATATTATTATTAAACAATTTATCTAAACCTAATTATGTATTTGCATTTCCTCTTGCATATTTTCCCCCTTGGTAAGATAAAAACAGAAAAGACAATAGAGAATTTCAGAAATATTTTAGCAGCCACGGACTTTTATAGAGGCTGCTAAGAAGAACAAGAATTTACTTCCAACAGTACTTTTCATGAATTGCATGTGTTTTCAATGGAAATGATTTAAGGTTAAGTATGAATGCCAACTACCTTGACAGAAAGAATTGGAAGGATGGGAAATGTATTTCAGTGTAGCATTTATAGACATTTAGAAAAAACAAATACTAAGTATGGTGTCTTTGTTGTTGTTTAAGGAATTCTTCTCAAAGGTGCCTTATGGTCAATCCTAATGGAGCCACACGTTGCATGATGATGGGAGCATTTCTGAGACATGTTTCATTAGGCAATTTTCATAGGCGAACATCACAGAGTATACTAAGCTGGCTCTATCACTAGGCAACATAGTACTAGGGGACCACCACTGTATACGAGGTCTACTGTGGAGTAAAATCTCAGGATGTGGCACATGGCTAAATAGGGAGCTGCTGCTTGGGGTGAGCATCAGGGCCATGGGCTGAAGTCAAATGGCCTTTTTCACTGTCCTTTTGCATCTCTCCTGTTGCCACCTCCCAGGGGCTCTGTGCTCACTAGAATCCTGTAAGAACTTCTGGTTTAATCCAACTTCTTTAGGTTAAGACTACTGAGGTGCACTGCTAATTCAGAGATTGGTTGGTCACAGAATGTAGCATTCTGATTCCAAGAGCAGAGCATTTCTTCCACACCATGCTGCCAGTTTTCAGTTCCTAAATTACTTCCAAACAGGAACTTTTTCCCTTTTAACCAAAGGGAGAATGTGCTTTGACACATTTATCAATAAGATACCAAGAGAGTTACTGAATAAAATATACATGGGCCAGCGCTGTGGCTCAATAGGCTAATCCTCCGCCTGCGGTGCCGGCACACCCGGTTCTAGTCCCAGTTGGGGCGCCGGATTCTGTCCCGGTTGCCCCTCTTCCAGGCCAGCTCTCTGCTGTGGCCCGGGAATGCAGTGGAGGATGGCCCAAGTCCTTGGGCCCTGCACCCGCATGGGAGACCAGAGGAAGCCCCAGGCTCCTGGCTTCGGATCAGTGCGATGCGCTGGATGCAGCGCGCCGGCTGCGGCGGCCACTGGAGGGTGAACCAACGGCAAAGGAAGACTTTTCTGTCTCTTTCTCTCACTGTCCACTCTGCCTGTCAAAAAATATAAATAAAAAAAAGAATAAAATATACATATTTGTGGGGCTGGTGCTGTGGCATAGTAGGTTAAGCATCCACCTGTGGTGCCTGCATCCCATATGGGTAGCAGTTTGAGTCCCAGCTGCTGCGCTTCCAATCCAGCTCCCTGCTAAGGTTCCTGGGAAAAGCAGAAGATGGCCCAAGTGTTTTGGGCCCCTAAAGCCACTTGGGAGACCCAGATGAAATTCCTGGCTCCTGGCTTCAGCCTGGCCTAGGCTCAGCTGATATGGTCATTTGTGGAGTGAACCAGCAGATAAGAAATCTCTCTCTCTTCCTGTCTCTCTCTCCTTATCTGTAACTCTGCCTTTCAAATAAATAAATCTTAAAAAAATGGTGACCAGCTACTAGTGAAGGTTGAAATAATAGGTATTGGTGTTGGCTTTGCCCATCACTTGTTAGTCCCCTCCTTTGTTGCTTTTCTGCCTTCCTCTGTGAAGACAAAGACCTACCCCACATCCTTCAGGCTGCAGGGTACGCCCCTCCTTGGAGAGCCCTTGGAGAGTCTCAGATGAAACTTGGCTTGCTTCTCCTCAACACTGGATGCCCACATCCCACCTTACCCAATGGTCTCTTATGCCTTCCACACCCATCTCCCTTCCATGTGCCTTGTGGACAGATGAGTCCTGAAGAATCTTTATCCCATTCCCTCCTGTCAAGAAGATGCTACTTGTTAGCATCTTTACTACTTGTTAGGTTTTTTTTAAAGGATTTTATATAAATATGATAAATAATAATACGCTTCTGCACTTACAGCCATTCTGCTGATTCTGATAGTTGCTTCTTGTGGTCGGGTTATGGGCAAAGAGATTACTGAAATCTCTGGCTGCTAGTCACTGAGGCAGTTTTGCTGCACTTTTTCTTGATTTTTAAAATGTCTAATTTTGACAGAAATAAACTTATCAAGGTTTGCCATTATCTGAAATACAGTATGTACATTAAAAACTCTGTGTAAGTTCAGTATGAAATCTGACAGTGAGTTCATTGTTAAGATGTGTTATCTGGTCTTTATAACATTTTCATATTGCTTTATTTTATTCTCTTTCCACACATTCATGAACACCTATTTTTCAACAAACATCTACAATATTTCTCATTCAGTAATAGGAGTTAGTATTTATCATTAAGCAATCTTATTTAGTGTGATTCACATTGTGCAGTTAAAAGATTTTTCTGGCAAAGTGTGATTTTCTTATAAAGAGAGCTATGAAAGGAACTAATTACCAAAGGATATCATGATAACAAAAAGTGATACATTAGCTAATTTTGAGATTGTATTTTGAAAAAGCCTTTGTCTTTCTACATAGAGAGGTAAAAGATTTTGTTTTCAAACTTGAGTGTGAAATAAGTGCCTATTTTGTTTTCTTTAAATAAAACTGAGTCTGCCTCAAGCCCCACCCTTTATGGGAGTTAGGAAGCTACTTCTTCAGCATCCCTCAGCATTGCACCCTTTCTGGAGTCATACAAAGAGTGTGATACAAAGAAAACATCCAGGAAAGACTTCTCTGGTCTCTAGTGCATACCATCACTTTGACTACTGCTTAAGCCATTATGGTCTCTTGTAGCCAGCATGGTGCTTGTAGGATGATTTGTAGCACTTTGGGGGACAGGAATTTTGCTAGACTGGGAACCCCTGGGCCTGGGATCCAGCTGCTTTGAGCAGTGCAGCTTCCCTTGAGTTTAGCCATTCCTAGGGATGCTGCTGGGGAGAGAGGTGCTCCACGATGAGAAATCCACAGCCTTTTGTTCCTTTCCAAAATCCTGGATAACCTCTGTCCCCTTGGCCCTCACCACTTGTTTTTCTTTTACCCCCAAAAGGCCCATTGTTTGTCCTTCTCCTCAACTCACAACCCCTTTCTCTGTAACCATAATGCTGTCTTTTTATTATTATTATTATTATTATTATTATTTTGACAGGCAGAGTGGACAGTGAGAGAGAGAGACAGAGAGAAAGGTCTTCCAATACCATTGGTTCACCCTCCAGTGGCCTCTGCAGCTGGCGCGCTGTGGCCGGCACACCCCGCTGATCCAAAGCCAGGAGCCAGGGGCTTCCTCTGGTCTCCCATGCCGGTGCAGGACCCAAGGACGTGGGCCATCCTCCACTGCACTCCCGGGCCACAGCAGAGAGCTGGACTGGAAGAGGAGCGACCAGGACAGAATCTGGCACCCCAACCAGGACTAGAACCCAGTGTGCCAGCGCCACAGGCAGAGGATTAGCCTAGTGAGCCATGGCGCCGGCCCATAATGCTGTCTTTAAAATGAAACCTTGGGAAAAAAGTTGTCTTCTGGATCTGGCCCCCAAACTGCTTAAGGTAAGAAACTTGTCTACCTTCCTTGAACCAGTGAGCAAACAGAAAGAGAGCAAAACCCATGTTATGATGATGGTATTAAAGTCCATTTACAGAAGAGGTACTCTTTAAGTATATTTAGAAAGTCATTCCCTAATGTGTTGTCTTACATACATGTGTTTACATTATGATCATCCATAGAGTTAACCTTTCAAATGAACCAACAAGGCCCACCCTTCATGTCCTCTCAATCCTTATCTTTCAGCAGGTAGAAAAGAGAGGCCGGGATTCTTTCTCAATGTCACGGAGTGTAGCAGTGGAGATTTGTTCCATAGATAGAATGGGAATTTCGAACCAGTGCCCCCAAGAGATTTGAAACTGTCCAAGGGAGAAGAAAAAGATTAAGTATGCAGGGCTCCAGGGACCCCCAAAATAGTTGTGATTCTTTTTTTAAAAATTTTATATATACAGTTCTACAGAATTCTATTATAAGGAAGGGTCCTATTGCTATAAAGGAGTCTCTGCAAATACAAAATATATGACATTTGAAATTCTAGTGTTTTTTTTTTTTTTTTTTTGGTTGAAGGTCGTCTTTTTCCACTATTAAATTCTATGGTATAAAAATGAACCTACCCCTTAAAATACTGTTGCTTCATTATTATTTACATTCCAAAATTCCCAAATTATAGACCAAGTTTGGGGGCTAGTATTATATGCTTATTTAGACTCTCAGTTCTGATTAATAGGACACTCATTGGGTGATGTTGATAAAAAATCTTGCTGCTTCCCATACATGAGTTGTTATCAACTGCCATCACTCAGCCTGAATAGTCACTGTGCAGAACATAGGTGACATCAAGTAGTTCCAGCCTAAGTACTGAATCATGTTCACATTAAACAGAATTTAAAATATGAACTCTTTATTTGTATTAGTTTATGGTTATATTGATCATCATATACATTTCTATCTAATCACTGGTCTTTTTAAAGACTTTAATAACAAATTACTCAACTTTAATAACATTATTATTCAGTTTTTAAATTCACTACAGATAAAATATTTAAAGAATTTTTAAATGATTATTTTATGTCTAGCCAAATAACATATATAATATTCATCAAAATTAAAGATTCAACAAGACAAACTTATTTTGTTATGACATTTTAAATATGAGAAAATTAGTTTTGCTTACTAAAACATAATTGAGTAAAATCACTTGTGTCAGACATTTTGAGTAACATGTATAATTTTATGCATTTCAGAAATGAACATTCTTTTTTTTTTCAACCCTACTCTGCTACTATTATTCTATGGTGTAGACTTAAGAACATATGATGTCTATTTTACAATATAAGCATTATAATTAGTATTTCTCTTCCATTAATATCGAATACTAAAGTTGGAGTATTCAAGCTTGGAGATGGTTTTTTCATTAGAAAAGTTTGTGCGGTCAATGCGAGAACTAGGACTCCCAACCTTGCTCAGCCAGGATTTCCTACAAAGAAAAAAATAATAATTGAAATTAGCATATGAAGTATATGGGGTTCAGGTAGAATGATCTCACAAAAGGTATTCATGGCAGTTTATTACATAACTTTCACATATAATGTGATTATATATATATATTTGATATATAAATTTGTTTATACTGTGTGTGTATATATATAGTCTAAGAAGATCACAAAGTATAATATATAATTAAATATGGAAAAAGAAAAGCTAAAAACAAGCACAACCAATTCCTAATGATTTCATACATGGGTTACTCCCCTCTTCCCCCTTAAAACACTCCAACGGCATTATTACCTAGCTCTTATATTCAAAAGGCCAAAATGCTTTTATAGGGTTAGTAATAAAGATGATTCACCATTGTTTTCGCATTATCCAGTACATAGTAAATATTTTATGTGTAATATGGAGAGAGAATTAAAGAAAAAAATTTAATTTTTCAAAAACATGGAAGTAAAATTAGTTATATGAATTATCTATCCAAACACTGTTTCTCACCACATACATTAGCATAGTTGACTTTATTAATTGATAAGTTAAATATTCCAAGAGAATTTTTGTGCTTATTTGGTGCAATGGTTTATCCTATTTATTAGCAATATCTGTATGTATTACTTATGGATTTGAGTACTCACCTAAGATGCTTCCTATATAATTCAGGCCTACTGTATATGGCTTACACCTATGATCATACTCTTGAGGATTTTCCAGAATCTGTCAACCTATTGATAATTAGTATGACAGATTTAATCATGCTACTATTTTATACAAGTGACGACCACTACCTCAGTTGTTGCTATAGAAACATCCTGTGTGTTTCCTCACATCCCCAAAGTTATTTCAGACCATCAAACTAGTGCTGCATACAGCTCAGCAACAGCATATGTGACAATCTCATATAACCTTCCACTAAGACCATTTTCTAGGCCAAATTTTTCTGGTTACTTGAAAATTACTATTAATCAGGATAGCAAAGTATTCTAATGGTTCACTGAGCTAAAAACCCTTTCTGTGGTTATTATTTGTGACAGTCACTGGTGAGGTTAATTTTGCCTTTCTTTTCAGAAGTTAAGCCATCAGCACAGAAACACATTTATTTTTAGCTCATCTACTAGGGATTTTTAAGATAGAGATTTCACGTGTTGTAGAATAAAATTCAGCTCTTATGAACTATTTTTTATGAAAAGGCACCTTAATTTTATTATTCAGATCACCTTAAAAAATAAAAATCAATAAATCTTTAAACTTTCAAGAAAACTAAGGTCAGAAATAGTACTGAAAGCTAACAGTTTTTGAGCCCTCTCTGGTAAGCACTATGCTAAACTCTTCACATGTATGATTTCCTTTACTCCACACATGAACCCTGTAAGTCTTAGACTATTATTACTCCCAAGTTAATGATGAGGAAAGAGAGAAACCAAAGTGTTAAGTAACTGCCCTAGGTAGTAGCAGTGGTGGGTGAGAAGTAGTCCAATTCTGAATACATTCTGAATGTAGAGTAAGAAGATTTGCTGACATATTGGATGTGGGTGGGAGAAAAGGAGAGGAGTGAAGGATGACACCAGAGTTCTTGGTTTGAGTAGCTAGTTGGATGGGGTTGCCATTTACTGAAATGGAGAGACTGTGACAGAGGCCGATTCCGGGGGAAGATGAGCTCAGTTTTGGAATGTTCAGTTTGAGATGTGTGTTAGACATCCAAATGAGATGTTGCGTAGGCAGTTGGATCTATGAGTCTGACTAGAGGAAATCAAATTTGGAATTTGTCAGCAGACTGGGATCATTTGATAAGGAATACAAACAGAAAAGAGAAGAGGTCCAATGACTGTACCCTGGGGTTCTCCTATGTTAAAAGCTTGGGAAGCTAAGGAGGAATCAGCACAGGAAGAGGGGAAAGCATCCAGTGAGGTCTAAGAAAATCTGAGAGAGCATAATATCCTGAGAGTCAAATGACAATCCCTGATTTTCAGAAACACCAAGATGGTGGAATTGGGAAAGAGCTTACTGCTCTAGACTAGGGGAAGATAGTTTTTAAAAAGTAGATAAAGTGCAGTCTCAGGGAAGAGCTAGGTAGAAAACTCCAGAAGAAACCTCACGCAAATTAGAGGGACACCGTGGACCTACTTAGGTGGTATGGACGTGCACAACTCAGGATCCCAGCAGCCCAGAGCCCCAGTAACCACTTTAGAGAGTGAGGTGAGACCAAACTGCAGCAGCACAAGCCCAGTTGCAGAAAGGGCCTGGTGCGAGTCCAGCTTGGAGCCCTATCGGGGACAGTGTACCTGCTAACCTAGAGGAGAAAAAAGGGGGAATGTTTCTCTCCCCGACCACCTGGCACCGGTATCCTGGAATACACTGAAAGACGTGGGCGCCATTTAGGACATACATAACAGCTGCAAAGCTAGTGTCCGCGTGCCCAACCACCAGCTGAGTGGAGATGCCCGAGTCTGGAAGGGAGAATTGACAGGGGGCTGGGTGTTCGTGACTGTGGGAGCCTTGCATGCTTGGACTATGAAAACACTACGGCTCCATGGGAGGGCAGAGGGTGTGGCTGGTACTTTAGGTAATCACTGTAGCAAAGATTCTAAAGTGTGCATGAGAGAAACAGCAGATTACTTTCAGAGGATCTTTCAGAGCTGACTTCTCATCAGAAACCTTATGTGGTTGGCGCTGTGGTACAGTAGGTTGATCTCCGCCTGCAGTGCTGGCATCCCATATGGGCACTGGTTCTAGTCCTGGCTGCTCCACTTCTGATCCAGCTCTGTGCTATGGCCTGGGAAAGCAGTAGAAGATGGCCTGAGCACTTGGGCCCCTGCACTCATGTGGGAAACCCAGAGGAAGCTCCTGGCTCTTGGCTTTGGATCGGCTTAGCTCCAGCCATTGTGCCATTTGGGAAGTGAACCAGTGAATGGAAGACCTTTTTATCTGTCTCTCATTGTCTGTAAATCTACCTCTCAAATAAATAAGCTTAAAAAAAAGAAAGAAACCCTACAGGCTAGGAAAGAATAGCGAGATATATTCCAAGTCTTCAGAGAAAAAAAAGTCAACCCAGAACACTGTAGCCTGCAAGGCTCTCATTTATGAATGAAGGTGAAATAAAGACATTCAATAACAAACAGAAATTGAAATAATTTGTCACCACTCATCCAGCCTTACAAAAGATGCTTAAGGATGTGCTACACACACAAGCACAGAAACATGGTCGTCACTATGAAAGAAGGTGAAGGCAGAAATTCTCCCAGTAAAAGTACAGAGGAAATCCAAAGTAAACAGTAAGGAAATTTATGGAAAAATGGCAGGACCAAGTAGTTACTTATCAATAGTCACCCTGAATGTAAATGGTGACAATTCTCCAATTAAAGATACAGACTGGCAAAATGGATTAAAAAAGAAAACCTATCTATCTACTGCCTATAAGAAACACATCTCATCAACAAAGATTACAGGCAGACTGAAAGTGAAAGGATAGAAAAAGATATTCCATGCTAACAGAAACTAAAAAAGAGCTGCTGTAATCATCCTAATATCAGACAAAATAGACTTTAACACAAAAACTGTTAAGAGACAAAGAAGGGCACTATGTAATGATTAAGGGATCAATTCAACAGGAAGATGTGACTATTATAAATGTATAAGCACCTAATGACAGAACACCTGGCTATTTCAAACAAATGTTAATGGATCTAAAGGGAGACACAGACTCCAATACAACAGTACTTGGGGGACTTCAATACCCCACTTTTAGCAATGGACAGGTCAACCAGACAGAAAATCAGCAAGGAAACACAGAATTAATCAACACTGTAGACCAAATGGACCTAACAGATATCTACAGAACTTTTCATCCTACAGTTGCAGAATACACATTCTTCTCACCAGTACATGAACCTTTGGTTAGGATAGACCACATGCTAGGCCCTAAAGCAAGTCTCAGCAAATTCAAAAAAATCAAAATCATACCAGGCATCTTTTCTGACCACAATGGAATGAAACTGGATATCAACAAATCAAGAGTCTGGAACATATGCATACACATGGAGACTGAACATGCTCCTGAATGAACAGTGGGTCACAGAAGAAATCAAAAGAGAAATCAAAAAAATTCTGGAAACAAATGCAGACAACAACACAGCGTATCAAAATTTTTGGGATACAGCAAAAGCAGTGTTAAAAGGAAAGTTTATAGAAATTTGTGCCTACATCAAGAAAATGGAAAGGAACCAAATAAATGAGCTCAAGGACTTAGAAAAACAACAGCAAACCAAACCCAAAACTAGTAGGAGAAAAAAAAATAATTAAAGTTAGAGAAGAAATTAACAAAACTGAAACAAAAATACAAAAGATATGCAAAACAAAAAGCTGAGTTTTTTGAAAATATAAATAAAATTGACAAACCACTGGCACAACTAACCAAAAAAAAAAAAAAAAAAAAAAAAAAAAAAAAAAAAAAGAGGGAGAAGACCCAAATCTATAAAATAAGAGACGAAAAAGGAAATATAACAACAGACACCACAGAAATACCCATCAAAATACCAGGACATTCTTCTCAAATATAGAAAAAATGATGCTGAAATTCATGTGGAAACATAGGAGACCTTTAGATAAAGCAATCTATACAACAAAAACAAAGCCAGAGGAATCAAAATACCAGATTTCAAGAATACTACAAGGCAGTTATAATCAAAACAGTCTGGTATTGGTGCAAAAACAGATGGGCAGACCAATGGTACAGAATAGAAATGCCAGAAATCAATTCAAGGATCTACAACCAACTTATCTTTGACAAAGGAGCTAAAAACCAGTCCCTGGAGCAAGGAAAGTCTATTCAACAAATGGTTCTGGGAAAACTGGATCTCTGCAATGCAGACTATGAAGCAAATCCTCTACCATACACCTTACACAAAGTCCACTCAAAATTTATTAAAGAGCTAAATCTATGACCTGATACCATCAAATTACCAGAGTGTGGGGAGCAATCCGGACTGGACT